AAAAAAAAAAAAAAAAAAAAAAAAAAAAGAGAACCATCGAACCTCAATATCGTTTTCGTACGATACTGTAATTTGCAGTAGTAGCGTTAATAATAATAAATGTAATAATAATAGTAGCAATAGTAATAATATAATAATAATAATAATGATAATAATAGGCAGCAATAATAATAAAGGCGACGATGAGGGATGACGATGACAATAAGAATACCGATATCATAATAGTAATATATAATATTGTAATAATAATAATAATGATAATAATAAGAATAGGGATAAGAGCGTTACGAATAATAATAAGAAGAATGATAGGAGGTTCCGTATAGTTAATGATCGAGATACGTTTAAAATAAAAGTATATTCGAGAATGAGGGTGAAAAAAGGAAGAGAAAAAGAAATAAAATTGCGTGTCAGGACAAGGAGACGCCTTGACCGAGAACAAACGATTTTGCAAATGATAGAATGTGGGGGCGAGGGGAGAGAGGGAAGTAGCGGAGTACCGAGACCGTTCCCAGTATAAGTTTACGTAGGCAATGAAAAAGCGCGCGCAATTCAAATCTAATGATTCCCGATTTCCTCGTACAAGCTGTAGAGGAGGAAAGGGGAAACAGGGAGGCGCTTACGAATTCCTACACAATTATTAAATCCGTCCCCCCCGTTTTTTCACCGCGTTCCGATATCCTGCCCTAGCTCGAAATACTTTCAGCCCTCTCCAGTTTCAATTGACGTAACGTCGCCAACGCGTAAGCGGACCCGCGACTTCGGATCGATCGATAATCGAAAGCTACCCCACCATCGGCCTACTTCTGAATAATCATTTGGAGGTTGGAATCGATATTTAGCAATTTTTTTACACTCGACCAAATTATAAGACGATAATATGAAGATGATCCAGTCGATGCTTACCTATTTGTTTTTAATCTTTTATCCTCTCGCCCCTTCCTTCGTTTCGCTCTCACTCTCGCTCTATCGCTCTATATATATATATATATATATATATATATATATATATATATATATATATTTCCTCT